GTCGGATTGTGGTGAGTTGTGAGAATAAACTGAGCCTGGGCCAACTTTGGTGGTCAAATATACTCTCTACAGTTTTATCATTTATGTCCAACTTGTGGCATGTTAATAACCATAAAGGCTTTAAAGATGCTGCAACACACTGCATAAATATTTAAAGAAGTAATGCATAAAACTATATTACATTTAAAGCAATTGAATATCCTCGTAATGGAATAAATATTTATAATATTTTAATGAACATTGTTAGAGAAGGTAATTATGAACAAAAATCTTTGTTTTACGTTCAACAACGCGTAAATCAATATAGTAGTAATTGAAAATTTAGCTAGACAACTTAACCCCAATTTTGATTATATACTATTTCATATCTGTCGTGTTTATTATATTTTTAATTTAATTGTTAAAGATGGGTTAAAATTCATATAAAGGTAGTTAGAAAAAAGAAATTAGGGTATGCTCTTAACTTTATTACGATCTATCCTAGTACAAAATAAGTATTCGAAAATTTGTGTATATGAAATGGGCTAAAAGCAAGAATATTTTTCATGGATATAAATCATAAATGAGAGTGAAAGAGTATAAATATCTCGCCATAATTTTAAGTCAATACAACAATTCATGACTACAAATTTATGCCTCAAGAAGAACAGAGAATATAAATACCAATATAAAAAGTGGAAAATCCTCATACAAATCCACCCGACTGCATTATCACTAGAAATATCAATTACCAACTACAGAAGTAAAAGAAATTGACAAATTGTGATTCACTAGCCTCAACAATTTTATATGTAATAATTCATAGGCTAGCGCATATAAAATTTTCAGTTTAATGTATATATAGCTATTCAATTTTCCATGTTGGTACGACATCTTCAAATAATTGGCCGCCTCTTCTTCTTTATTTTCTTTAAAAACCAAAAATAAATTGTGGGTTTGTTACCTCAACACAACACTTCAACAGGAAGACAAAAAGGAAGTACTCGGTTGGTTGGATAATCGGATTTCTAGCTAGAACTTTTGCTTGTAGCCTTTAGGGATTGCCGAATCACCGATTGGTATTGAAGATTGTATATACTGATTTTTTTTAAGGGATTTTGAGGGTTTTGTATTGAGATGGGTTTTTATCCTCTTTTTCTTTTTGAGAGGCCATCTTAAAATCCGAGGCTCAAGGCCACTGCCAAGGCTAGCCCTGGTGTCAAGTATCTGGAGTGGTCGATGATAAGTGCATTTTGAACACTTATTTGGACCATATTACTAAGCTTTTATGTCATCAAATTATTGAATTTTACTTTGGTTAATTTTCTATTGCTTCAATGTTGAACCTATTATGATGCAATTGAAAAAGAAAGAAGGATGAAAATAAAAATGCAATTTTGGTATCTAACTCCACTTGTTAGAAATTGAAGGATTAAGTTGAATTAATTATAATGAAGTGAGGCCTCAAAGGATAAATTGCAACTAATTGGGTTGCAAACTAATGAAAAGTGACCGAAAGTCGAATGGGAATGAAATTCCTGTTGGAAAATAAAGCCCAGTTCGGCGACTGCTCTGGGAAAAAGGTTGCATGCTGTTAAGTATAGATATATATAAACACACAGTAATAGGCACAAGAGAGAGGAAGAGAAGTGGCCGCTGAAAGAGAAAATTATACAAACAAGCACAGAAAACGGAGAAAATTCTACTGGCGGCTAGAGAAAAACAGAGACATAGATACACGCAGAAGCTGGCAAAAGACCAAAAAGAAAAAGGAACAAGGCAGAAGGCAGAAGGCAGAGAAAAATTGCAAAAATTAATCACGTCGATTTTTGGTGATATCTTTTCACGTTTATTTATTTAATTTCAAAATTATGAATTTATCATGAAACTTTTAAATAATTTAGCGTAACACGATATAGGAATTAAACAAATAAATGTGGAAAAATATCACCAAAAATCGACGTGATTAATTTTTGTAATTTTTCTCTGCCTGTTGCCTTGTTCCTTTTTATCTATATCTCTGTTTTTTTCCAGCCACTAGTAGAATTTCCGTCTTTTCATTTTATACTTTTTCTCCTAGGTGAGTATGTGTGTGGTACTGTATATTTCAAGTAGAAATATAAAATGATAATGCTGTCTTCTTGAAGGAATTTAATCCCGAACAGATCATTCCAATCTACATTGCCAGTTTATCATTATTTGTCGACATAAATCTCTTCTAAGTTCACGTCAATTTATACTCATACGCGCATGGATGTATTTTTAAATTTGCCTAATGGAGGAAAATAAGCAGAGATGGCGCGAGTGAAGTCCTAATATTCGAGTTGAATGCAATTGGGAATGTTAGTTACAATATTTCTCCAACTTAATTTCTCACTTTAAACTATGTTACTGCCTAAAATAGGCTCAGATCAGTTTGTTTTATTGCATAGATTGTCTTATTCAGGCTCGTGCCTTATTGGAACCAAACTACCAACCCCGATGACTTTTACCGTGGTACAAAACGACATCACACCATCGGGACAAGAGCAACACTGACAAGAGTGGAAACATGTTACGTGCTACCTAATACAATCGTGCAAAATAGAACTTTCATCATAAACTTGCCTAAATTATGTGCAGTATCTACTGTTTTTCGTTTCTGAGTAATTATATCATTTTTCTTTTTTCGTTTTCATTTTATTGCAATCTGTTATCCTACGGAGTTTGATTTTTATCCCTGGTATTCAGGTAAAACACCAGTACTTTTACGTGTAATGCTGAATAGCAGTAGGAAGTTTCTTTGTAACTGGCAATATAACGTAAGACATCTTTTCTAGCATAGAAAAAATGTAATTCCGTATTCAATATGTCAATCTCGACTGCTAGAAAGGCATATTCTAGTACTTGTCAAAACGTTTCCTTAGAGTCCCATTTGGCATGGCTTTTGTTTTTTACGTAGGAACTTTTGAAGGAAACTACCTAAATTTTTGTTTGAAACTAATTTTTAAATGTGCTTATTCTAGAGATACTTTTAGAGGAAGCCACATTGACTAGTTTCCTCTAAAAACTCTTCTAACTTGAAGAACCATCTTCATGAAATTAGCCAAATAGATCCAAAAGCAATTTTCGGATGTCAAAAGCCCTTTTAGCTTTTCAAAAAGACATGTCGATTGGGCTGTTAGTCACCCCAAGTAGCTTGTGCAATTCATTATCATATAAAACTTTAATTGAACTCATTCACAAGGTCAATTTCAATTTCATAATTTTATCCAACTGGCGCTTTTACATGTTTAAAAAAACAAAGATCATCAGTGTCACCATTTATTACAGTCTCATCCCATTAGTTCTAGTCAATATTTTTGGTCACCGTGCTTTTATAACATGCATCTAGGATTTTGAAAGTTGTGGACTTCGTACACTCTTCTTTGACAATCAGGAAACTAGTAGGCCAAGGCATTACCATGCCTTTTAGGATGAAAATAATTTTAGGGCAAATGGAATTCAGTTGTTGACGAATAATCTCTGTTATACGTATGCAAGATGCACGCGTTCTATCTCTGTGGGTAAATGAAGACATTTTCCTCACATTGTATTTTAATGGACATATCTGTACTGCTGTCCATCCAGTGAGAGGCAGTGGAAGAGACAATAATAATTTTAACCTTGAAAGTGTGCCCTTTGAAGATGATCTTTTTTTCTTGAAGATGTTAATCTTGTATTTATTTCCAACATCAAAGAAACTCAATCAATAGATTACTTAAATACCAAATGGTAATCAAATTAATTGTTCCTTGAGTAGCATTTCATTCAAACAATGAGGTCAAGAAAGGTGCGCCAGACTAACCTGGGGATTTTTTTCTAATTAAGGCTATAAACTAACATAATTGTTGTTCAAAATATGGTGGAGAAAGGGTTGTTTGTAATGAATCAATGAAGTAGAAAGATTTAATGCGCAAGAGCGTAATTAAACACAACAAATTTTGAAGAATGTGTAAACCAACAAGAAAAGAAGAAAAGAAGAAGAAAGAGATCCGAGACAAATGACAATCACTATTCCTTAAGACAATATTGTCCTACAATAGTGCTAATGGTGTATGGCACTTGTGTGTCAAGATACAATGAATTCAACTTAAGGTAAAAGCACTTCAAACCACAAGTTTCAGTGAACTTAGAACGGAGCCTTCTCTCTACAAGAAGAAATAGGTTTGGAAGCGTTTTTATAAGATATTTTATGCAATGCTTAATGCAAAAAATGATATGGGATGTATTATGGGAGTCCAAAAGGTTCTATTTATAGACGATGAGAGGATGTGGGTGAAGTGATGCGTACCAAACCTTGCAACTCTACAAAGGAAAGCATCATTTGTTGTCGCTAACTTGTCACTAGCTTTTCGTTCGAGTGTCGGTGCCAAAATTTTAACATAACTTTACGCTAACCTGTTACTCGAGCTGGAACGATAGGCGAGCAACAGAGTTAGGCAAAATCCATGCAAGTTTTCCTCTATTTCTTTTTTTTTTTTTTGAGAATTGGACCGCAATTTCTCATTCATCCTGGATTGATTTTGAGATTCCAAAAATATCGTGATGATCTACTTGACAAGTAGAATAAGTTAGTCTATTTACATTTATAATTTGACCATCAGATCAAATCTGAATATTTGGCTAAAATTGACACGAAAGTCACTTCTCCACATTTATACTTAACCAAATTTTCTTAATTTTAAACTACTTTTTTACAATCCCTACATAAATAGGAATTCGAATATGTACATACAATGCGAAAAATTTATGATACATTGGAGAGAGATAAAGGAGAATGAGATGGTGATAATAATAAGTAACTTAAATCTTAAAATCTTCAACCAAATTTTATAGTAATCCCTATCATTATAGCTACAATCCATGATAATTATCTCCTTGAGTCCAAAACCTAGTTAAGAAGCTTCTAGGTTATATTTTGTGTGCATATATAAATATTAAATCTTTGTAACTTGTCTGTTTTTGGCATGTATATCATATAGCTTGTGTACATATATAAGTAATAAACCGAATGGAATGACCAAAAAGGGTTCACATATTTTTGTTGTTTGTTGTCTTTGTTGCTTAATATATGCTATAAAATAGTAGCTGACACTGGTGGAGGGCTAAAACATCAATCATGCTGGAGATTTTTGCACAGTTTGACAGACTGTCAGTGGCACGATTTCATTGAATGTTGGACAAAAACCAAATTTAAACCAGCCAACCCACCCTCATCATCTGTAAGCTTCTGGTACACTTCATCAGTACAAGGAAATTAATTCCTAAAACATATCTTGCTGGATGTCACTTCTGGGGACCAATGGAATTGTAACAAGCTTATCACTTTTCTCATTTCCATCTGAATGAGGGTGACCAAGGAAGACTCACAGAACATTTCACATGCATTAATGGACAACCGGGACTGCCAAAGGTGTGTGGAATCTTGCCTAATACTGAAGACAAAAATTGAGATGTGTATATACCACACACACACACACACACACACATTACATGTAAAGATCAGTTGTCCGTTCCAGCTTCTACATTTAGAAAACCTTGAAGGGCTCCAAAACTAGACCTGTGTACCAAAAGAGATGAGTTATCCATTATTATGAATCAACCACAGGTTAATTAGTTCATGATTTTTCTGCTATAACAGCATATAACCTACTGATCTTGTTCATGGAAATCAACAGGCATTTATAATTAAGTTGAGACAATAAATTGTTGAACTCGAATTACAGAATTCTTTAAGTATATGTAAGAATTAAAAGCATGTATTGATCGGGGACTGTCGAGTAGTGCCCATTATTCTGTCGTCAATATATGAATATATGCCTATAATTCATAAATTTGAATCAACCACAGGTTCGTTACTTGATGTTTTGATTTATTCTGCTCCAAGTATTTCTCAAGAAAGAGCTCATTAGTATTCATAGCACTGAGATACCAAATGGAAGAGAAAATTTCAAGAATGTCCAAATAATCACGATTAAATCGTGGTTCCAAACTAGGCAATATCAACAACAAACTAAATCAATCTCGGCCTAGAAAAATTGGGATCAATGTTTAGAATTTTAAACGCACGATCAGATCAAAATGCTCAATCATAAGCGTCTTGATCTGCTTATGCATTTTAAGGTGCAAATTTTCTTTTTGAAGGATCCTAGAATTCCATCCTGATATAAGGGCATTTAGTTCTGTAAATTTGTTCTCATTGATCCCAGTTTTGTTTAGGCAAAGTTCAACTATCTATTGAGAAATTTTCCTACTTCATCCTTGTAGCACTCCGATTTACTCAGGATATATAAATATAGTTCTGATTTGGTACACATTTTTTAGAAAAATGTGTAGTCCAAAAATGCCAGGCTTCAAAACTTATGCGGAAAAATGCCAAAAAATACATAAGCTGTCTTGAAAACTAACTAACCACCAGAATTCTCAAAGATAGAGTAGATCAGTCAGATCTACATAAATCAAGCGCCCCTAAGAATAAAAGACGAAATGTCAATAAAATTACAGACCTACATATCTGGCTTCAAGAAAAACATTGAACTGTAAATTAACAAGCTATCATAAGAATCTCAATTCTTAGGATTAATTAGAAAATGAGACCAAAATGAGCAGATAGTTACAAAATTTCTCTTAACAAATTAATGTTCAAAAAAGAAAAGCATGTAAAATCCCTACTCCATAGGTTTCATCAGAAATTAATAAACGCTAAGAAACAAAAGGGTTTCTCGAAATTATAAGTCATAGAAATAATGAAATCAGTTAATTGTTTTATATATGAAAAAAGAGAGTGCACGCAACAGATATGCAGAAATTGTACAGGTAATCTAGGTAGAAAACATCAAGGCTCACCTCCTAAAGCACGTCTAGGGATCCACGAAATTTCTGTCAAAAAATACTAAGAATCCATTAAATCAAACAATTACACCAAAAGGAACAAAACCATAAACCGGTGTACGAATACATAAACGTTCTATAACTGTCAAAAAGCATTCAAAATTCAGGTGAACCCAACATATAAAAAATACAATAAGGAAACTACATACCATTCTTTCAAAAAATAGAAAACCCTAAATGATTGAATTAGAAAATAGGGTTTTTCATGCCCCAGCATCAGATGAAGCAACCACGTGATCTTATCGTTCCTCAAAAAAGAAGAAACGTTTAGATCACGCTGGCAGCTTTAACTCATACTAGTGCATGACGATCATAAAACCGGCAATTCATTAGTCTCCAACTAAAGTCCGTGACAACTAGTTGAATTCCCATTAGGGTACTTTGATAAAGGAAAAAGGGAGACCTAGCTATCTACAAAGGGTATTTTCTTCATCTTGTACCTAGAGAAGAAGAGCATATGGGGGGTTTAAATAGAGTTATGAAACAGTAGGGATTTGTAGGGGAATATATTTTGGTGGATAAAAGATAGAAAATTGGTGAAGGAAAAGCATATAATAGAAACAAAAATGTATAGATGCTGAAGGTGGTCCTCACCTGCTGGATTCAAATTGAATATTTGTCACGCCTCAAGCTCCAGTTTAGCAGACTGTGCACAGGTTTGTAATAGTGAAAGTTCCTATATATTAATTTAAGAGCATTTATTAACTTAACTTTAGGGTTGAAAGGGTGGGGTGGGGACCCTAACAGGGTGTATCGTGCACACACAAGAATACGTGCAGTATAATTACAATTTGCATATTTGAGAAAGCATCTAAAGATGGGCCAAATACGTTTGTTTTAGCTTATAATTGAGGTGGCAGTATAGAAATATTAAAGATTCCTAATTTAATTCTTGTAGTCACTTGTTACTTGTCAGGTATTTGAGGGAAAAGATAAACTCATTAATCCAAATTGTAAAGTGTGTATGGCTTGAGTCTTCAAACCTTCATGCCATATTTTTAGTTTCCTGTTAAAAAATAATAACAAGAACACACACACACACACACACACACACACACACACACACATATATATATATTCCCTGGTGTGATATGCATAAGACATGTTTGTGGACCCTAATAGGCTTGATATTTTCTAGACATATTGGGTCAATAGGTGCTCCAAATCGAGCTTTTTCGACGTGTATGTCATATCTAATTTAGCTTACAC